CCACGACAGCACCAGGGCTCCTCTAAGCCAGAAGACTATTAACAGAGGAAGGTGGGTAGTGGCTAGCTTAAAGGTAACAAGTAAGTTTGCACTGTTTTACTGTATATATATTTTGGTGTCCTGATTTTATGTTTTTACAAGTTTTAAAAAAGCTATACCATTATCTTGAACAACATTTTAAAGAACCGTATGATATTTCACTTTGCCAAAATATCATCTTTTACCTTTTTAAAAAGAAATTGTTGGGCATTTAGGTTGATAGCATTATCAATCATGCTTTGCGGGGCATGTGTGTGCAAACGCCACTTTCCACAGTTGTTTGGAAAGGCCAGATTTACTGTGGTAGTTTGCCTAAGTGAGACTACTAGGTCTTTTTATAAATACTTGTTTGATAAGGATGGATACATGCTTTTGAGAAATACTTTTCAATAGGTTCCAAAAGTTTCTTTCACCCTAAATACTGTTAGCAAGCCCCTGTGTCCCATTGCACTGTCTTTAAGAGTAGTCTTTTTAAAAAATCGATTGATAGGATAAAATTGATATATCATTTTAAGTTACAATTATTTAAATTACAACATATGTGGGATATGCTTATGGTTTTGTGGCCGGTGAACTGCACTTATATTGAAGTGTCTGATGTCCCAGCCAGGAGTGTTTGTGTGTGAACCTTATTTTCGTACTCTCATGGGTGTTCTTCAAGGCTGGAAATTCTAGCAATGAGCCTAGTCAAGTTGAGGGAGGGGGGATGTGCTTGCCTGTCAAGTTTCTTTAATTTTGTGTCCATTAGGATTGCTGACCGCTCTGTCCAGTAGATCCATATTCAGTTGCTGGTGGAGGAGGCTTAGCGGCCCCCCGGGGTGTATGGTTCCTCCCAGGGCTGCTCCCCAGGAGGAGGATGGTCTCGCAAGCCCACAGGCCAGTTCTGCCCAGTCTTCGTGGGGTGTTGTCCATGGCAGCGAGTGGAGCGGTGGTGGCACGGAGAGGGGTTCCTACTTGGGCACTTTTCAAGCAGCCACCCAGACTCCTGTTTAGTTGGTTGCTTCCATCTTGTGACTGCCCTGACCTCTAAGTCCTGAGATGGCCCTTCCCGTTGGTGAGAAGATGGCAAAAGGACTTGGAGGGCGATGCTGCAATCCCATGAGCTGGCCCTGGAAGGGCACCCTGGCCCAGTCTTACATTCCAGTCAGCAGGCCACGGCTACTTACAAAGCATAAAAGAAAACAAATTTGGTGAATGTCTAGCCAGGCTCTGCCCAAGCTTTCATACTTGAATGAAGGCATCTTCTCATAAAATCTGATTCAATTACTTATATTACTTGAATGTATCTGGAAATAAATCACTCATGTAACATGGATTATTTACAGTTCTTAAATATGCAATAGAAAATTTGAGATATTGGTAAGAAATTCATTGCTTTATCAAAATGTCTTTCACAGACCAGGTAAACAGAAACAAAAACAAACTCACTGCCATTGAGTCAAAGCTGACTTACAGTGACGCTGTGGGTTTCTGATACTCTACTGTTTACAGGAGTAGAAAGCCCAGCCTTTCTCCCTCGGAGCTGCTGGTGGTTTTGAACTGCCAACAATATGGTTCACAGCCCACTACACCAGACCAGAGAAGTAGAGAATTGATATTGAATGACTACTGGAGAGTTTTTAACTTAGACACTGAGGAAAAGAGCATGGAAGTGTGAGGACAAAGTGACTTGGATATTATAAACAAGTCTTGGAAGGGTAATTTTTGATCCATTGTATAAGATCAGATGTACAAGAACCTATACCAGGACTAATTGGAGTTCAGTTGCGCTGATGAATGTGCTGCTGCTTTGTTAGAATGATATTTCCATAGAATATGATAGCTCTCTTCCCTGTTTCTGTCTACACAGGTAATTAAAGTATACAGTGAAGATGAAACCAGCAGGGCTTTAGAAGTACCCACTGACATAACGGCTCGGGATGTTTGCCAGCTGTTGATCCTGAAGAATCATTACATTGATGACCACAGCTGGACCCTTTTTGAGCACCTGCCTCACTTAGGTCTAGGTAATGGTACATGATCACAGTCTTGCTTAATGGCTTTCCTAGTTGACGGCAGCGGTGCTCAACCTGTCGAATGACCCTTTCACAGGGTCTCTCGACTCATAGCAGTAGCAAAATGACAGTGACGAAGTAGCAACAAAAATAATGTTATGGTTGGGGGGGTCACTGCAACATGAGGAGCTGTCTGAAAGGGTCGTGGCCTGAGGAAGGTGGAGAACCACTGGGCTAGAGTGTGACTCACATGGCACCGAAAAATGGACAACTTCCAGGAAGTTAGTGTGCTTTCAATTTGAAGATTGTTGATATACCTGAAGCTCAGAGTGAAGTTTGTGGAGAAGTAGGCATAGTTTGACAGTATCCATAGACCTTTTTAATCCAGGCGACCCCTGTTGATACTGTGGATGAGCTCACACATGACTGGATAGTTGAGCAAAAAGATTAATACACTGGCTAGCTAAGAAATGTGCCTTCCGAAGGGACTTCGCCTTGGCCGTTGCTGCCTCATTCCCCCTTCCCAAAACCTATTTATTGGGAGTTAATAGAGATATATCATTCCATAATTCAGTATTGTACCATTGCTACTACACTCAGTTTTGAAACATTCTTCTCCTTCCTGAACTCCTTAACATCAGCTCCCTTTTACCACTCTTATCACCACCACTGTATCCCCCTGCGCCCTCCCCCTTTATTCTATTGCTGTCCCTATAGATTCATCAATCTTGGGTTTCATATATTGAACAACAGATAACAAAAATTCGAGAGGGTGACCCCCAATGACATAACACATCTGCGATAAACCTCAGCGAACAAACATCACACAAAAAAGTACAGAAAATGTTGAAAACCAGATCAGGCCTAGGGTGCACCAGGTCTCACCTCTGAGGCAGGAAATGCTTGGAATCTATTTACCTCATTTGCCAACTGTGACGAATGTTTACTCATTATAATTAATCTCCCAGAAGTGCCATGTAATTTAATACTATCTGACATATTCCAAAACTATCCCACATACATGTGCTTTCAGGAATAGTGCTCTTGATTAATATAATATGCAATTATTGTATATTATCCTCTAAAATTTTTCTTTTGGTAGTTAATTTTTTAATTTGTTATAGTCATTATCAATTATCCTCAACAAATTGCTCGAAGTAATAAGAATCTACTCTGTAAATCAAACAGCAGTTTTCTTTGAAACCTTTGGAAAGTATTTGTTACATAATACAAGGGGGTTCCCCCAAACGGAATTGTGCGGGGCAGAGCGGAGCTGTGGTAATACGCATTATTCTCCTGGTAGGCGAGTGGTGTCACCTGGGAAGGTTCTTGCTGGTCACAGTGAATTTTTTGGTAAAAGCAGTTTTGCTCAGATCTTGTTTTTTTGTGATGGCTGATTTAAGAGAACAGCTTGTGGCTGTGAAATTTTGTTTTCCTGCTCGGGAAAAATGCCACAGAAACTGTTGTGATGTTAAACACAAGGACAGCGCTATGGGGAAAGACTCAAGTGTAAGAGGGATTTCTTGTTTCAAGAAAGGTGAAATGTCGATTGATGACAAACCTTGTTCTGGGCATCTGTCAACTTCCTGAACGTACAAAAATGTCGACTCATAGTGCATCTGGACGTCATTCCACCAGATCAGACGGTTAATCAAGCTTTCTTATTGCATAAGTGTACAACAAAAAAGGCCTGATTTGTGGCAGTACAGGGACAGGTGCTTTCAAGACCAGGATCATGCAGGGCCTTCTTGAGAGGACCGCCTATAGAAAAGGCCTGCAGCAATAGAGGAGAGAGAATGTCAGTCAAATAGGAGAGAGTGTTCTAGAGCCGAGCTCTTGAGCCATAAGGCAGCTCTTTGGTGCATGCTTGTGGCTCTGAAGTAAAATTGAAAAATTCCGAAGGATATTATTCAGATCATGCTCGTCTCATTCGTTTGTAAACACAGTTATGGCTCTTGAATAATTTTTAAATGGTTGTGAGGGACAGGATTGGCCCTTCTATCTCAAAAGCTTGCCAGTTTCTGTTCTAGATAGAAGGAGCTACAAGTAAAATTCCCAGGCAGGCCAGAGACCGGCCAGTAGGCTTGTCTTATAGAGGGAAAGAGGCCAGGGCATTCGGAGGGGAGTCATTCATGGGGGAGTGATGGGAAAGGACATCGTTGGAGGACAGGGCCAGATGGTGTGGAGTCTCAGACTCTTGAGTGGACTTAGATTTTACCCTACTCACTGCCAGCTAGCTAATTTCGACTGATAGTGAACCCACTGGGTGGGAGAACTGCTGTAGGAGAAGTTTCAGGCTGTGAATCTTTACTGGATCAGAAAGCCTCCTTTTTCTCCCACAGAGTGGCTGATGGGTTCGTTGTCTGAAAGCATCATGGATTCTACTTCTCTGTGTTCTAATATTCGTTGCACCGGCTCCACAGAACCCACAGCCAAAATTCATGACTTAAAAAAAATCATTTTGTTGGGGGCTCTTACAACTCTCATCATAATCCATTCCTCCATTGTCTCAATCACATTTGTGCATATGTTGCCATCATCATTTTCAAAGCATTTTCTTTCTACTTGAGCCCTCAATATCAGCTTCTTCCTTCCCTCACCCTCCCACATTCATAAGCCCTTGATAAATGATAAATGATTGTTTTCATATCTTGCACCCTCCACCGTCTCCCTTCACCCCCATTTTTGTTGTTCGTCCTCCTCGGCGTGGCGTGGGGATGTGATACGTCAATCATTGTGATTGGTCCCCCCCATCCTCCCCCTGGCTGAAGGGTTGATAAAGGAAGTTAACAGATTTTAATGCCAGTGCGAGGACAGTTGTTTATTAGAACACAGTACAAAGTTCTTTTAGGCCTGCTACCCATATATACTCGTGTATAAGTCAGATTTTCCCCGCACATTTTAATGCAGTTTTTGTGATAAAATTAGGTGCCTTGGCTGATATTCAGGTGGGCTTATACT